CTGACTGAACCCTTGAGCAACGAGACGAGCTTTGTGTCGTTCAACGGAGCCATCGGCACGATACTTGGTGCGATATAAGCATTTACAGCCCACAATGTTATGATGAGGTGGTTAGGGAACAAGCATTCATGTTTGGTTACGGCGGAGCGCATCCATTTCTTTGTTCATAGCAGTCACCCAAGAGGGATGTTTGATGGCCATTTTGAAACTGCGTGGGTCAGTAGCAGCGAAGAGAGCCGAGAAGATGGTTGTGTGGGCCAAGTCCACGTGATGTTTGGGCTTGAAAATGCCAGACTTAGCCCGAGTTTGCATGGGGTGACCACCGGTAGTGGGCTCGATGGTGGACTGAACAGGAGCATTAGCATCAACAACCGGTGTCGATTGAACAGTGGCAGGGGTGGGGAGAGTCAGGGCAGTGGTAAGAGGAGTCCGATCAGGTTCAACATTTGCTGAAGCCGACGGCGTAGGAAGTGGCGAGAGGTCTTCAGGAAAGGAAACCGAAGTGACAGATGCTAGAGAGGAGGTCTCATCACCACATAGATCACAAGGAACCGGGGGTGCCRGAGAGGTATCCATAGAAGGAGATGGAGCGATAGAGTCRGAACATTCATCGRAGAACCGAGACAAYGAGAGTAAGGTCTYCGAGGTTTGTGTGCCGGTACCGGTAAACGRAAACAAGTGTTCGTCAAATTTGGCATGTCGCGTGACGTAGATGCGACAGGTAGTGGGTTCAAGACATTCGTAACCTTTATATTGAGAGCAGTAGCCAATAAAAATGCAAGGAAGACTCCGTGGTGATAATTTATTCGCCGCATAGTCGCGTAGATATGGGTACACCCGACACCCAAAAGGACGAAGATGACCATATGGAGGACACCGGTTGAAGAGAAGTTYAAATGGGGATTTGTTTTGGAGAACTGGCGTCGGGAGGCGATTAATAATATACACCGCAGAGCGAAAGGCATGTACCCAATAAGTCGGAGGAACATGACCGTTGAACAACATAGCTAAACCGGTCTCGACAATATGACGATGTTTCCGTTCCGCACGACCATTTTGTTGCGGTGTATACGGACACGAAATGCGATGAAAAGTGTCATTGTCAACTAAACTTTGCCGTACCCAGTTATTAAGAAATTCGGTGCCACCATCACTTTGAAAAACTTTTAACTTGCGCGAGAACTGTGTTTGGACGAACTTAAGAAACACATCCAAAATGATTGAAAATTCGGATTTGGTTTTTAGCGGATAAAACCAAGTAAAGCGTGAATAATCATCCACGAAAGTGGTATAATAACGGTAACCATCATGCGAACATTCGGGCGATGGTCCCCACAAGTCACAGTGTATTAAATCAAGAATATGAGACGCWCGTTTTTCATTTGGTATAAACGGTAAGCGATGTGATTTAGCAAGTTGACAAGAGTTGCATATAATAGGTTTAGGCAAAATAGAGGTAACCGACAAGTGGCCCTTTTTATTCAAAAGCAAAATAGTATTAAAYGACACATGGCCTAAACGCGAGTGCCATAGCTCAAAAGAAGCGCGAGAGGTGGACCGTGTGGATGCAAACAAGCTTGTGGTGCAATAGAAAGGACATAAAGGCCACGATCACATATGCCCTGAGCTAGAACCTTCCGCGTCGTTCGATCCTGAATGTAAAAATGAGGTTGGGAAAACAAAACATCCAAATTATTATCARTTGTTAACTTGCTAACGGATAAGAGATTTTTGGAAATCCGTGGAACAACCAAAACATCCCGAAGCCGTATGCGGTTGGATAAAGACGATTGACCGATATGAGAAATGGGAAGAACATTACCATTTCCAAAAGACACTTGGTTGTTGCCAAGGTAAGGTGTGGGTTTAGTTACGGACGCGGATGAAGCCGTCATGTGATCCGATGCACTGGTATCGACATACCAATCCGGAGCCGCCAAAGTGACATGGCACTGTGCATGAAAAGCACGGGCGAGATCAGTGTCGCTAGTGGGGGCATGATTAGCAAAAGTGGCGAGTTTGGGACAAGCGCTCGCATAGTGACCATTAGTGCGACACAATTGACAATGTACAGGATGACGGCCCTGGCTACGACCGCCACGAGGGTTGTGACCACCACGGCCACGAGTAGGATTTGAGGAGACGGCACCAGAATCGGTAAAAAAAGCGACAGCCGGAGGTGAAGAACCGTGGAGCGATTTGAGGAATAGTTCATGGCCTTCGGCTTGTGCAATCAGAAGACGTATTTGATCTTTTAAATTCTGAATGCGTTCGACAGAGGAATTGCTATAGGCCACCTCGAGGGCAACCCAGATTTGCCGAGCGGTGTGCAGACTAACGATCTCCTAGAAGGCTTCCTCCGAAAGGGAGGATTGGATGAGAATAACGGCCCTCTGGTCAACGGCAATCCATTCAGCATAGCCAGGTTGGGCTTTGTATTTCCATCGACTATGATCTCAGTGGCGGGAGGCAGAGAGGAGCCATCCACATGAGTTACCAAATTCTGGTAGGTGAGCAGCGGAAGAATTTGGTTCTGCCACAGTAAGTAATTCGTGGAGGACAGGCAAATCGTGATCAAATGCATCGCCGTGTTCATCGAGAAGAGGGAATCAGTGGCCGATGAAGAAGACATAAGGACACCGTAGATGTGCCGATAGGTTGAACAGGCGAAGATGGGAGATATGGGAGGGGGAAGTGATCGTAATTTAGGCGTATAATACCATGAGAGAAATGCTCTCCATACCAAAACAGGAGGAGAGGATAACTATAAATATACAAAAAAGTTACACTTTGCAGCCCTGAATCAATAAATACATACAAGGGCTAAAATGAAAAAATGAATGATAAATAGGAGACTCTACATGTCTAATACCTTATCACCGTGTGTTACAATTGGAGGCCCACGAATACTGGATTGACCCAATTGAGAAGAAAGATTCACATGAAAACCCTTACTCGACCCACCCATATGATGATACCGAAAACGGAACTAGGAAACATTTGCCGATGACGGACGAATCATCTCTTCCATATCTTTCGCCAGATACATTGCATCCAATCGGGATTATGGTCGGTGTAGACGAACCCATCACTTGACTTCATCACGTAAACCTGCGATAAAATATCCTAATGCCTGATATTCAGGCAATTTTGGAACCAACGACAAGAGATACTCAAAATCATCAATGTAATCGTGAATTGCAGTCTGTTTCATCATGGCTAACTGTTCAAAAGGATCTTGGATTTTGAGACCACTAAATCTCTGCCAATTCAATTTGGAATTGATCCAAGGTAAGAGATTCATGAACCTATTTAACAATGGTAAACCAATGTTGAGCCACTCCCACCATGCTCAACTGTTCCAAACGAATTCAAAGATAAGGAGTGCTATTGACATCAAAATACGAAGAAGCCTTTTGGATCCAGTCTTGAGGATCAAAGCCATAAAACTCCGAAAGTTTAATTTTCTTCACTGTCCAAGGAAGGCCCATCGGAGGAGACAGAGAAGTCTGACCCAAACCAGAGAAAACCCCCAAAAAGTCACCCCCTTTGGTGACGAAGGTGAGTTGCGAGAAAACATACCTTGACCACCAATCGAAAATTTGTCTTGCTGTTTCATCCATCCCATCATCACTTGATGAAATTCGCTGGCCTCAGCACGATCCAGATCTAATGCAGAAATCATAGATTTTATTTCCACCAAATCAGCTTGTAATCGCTGGCTTTGCTCATCCTGATCTTCAAAACGGGCTTGAATGGAACGTATCTCCATGTGTCCGGCAGAGTCGGACCAATGATAGAGAAAGGAAAAAAATGAAAGAAGGCGACTAAGAGTTTAGGGAAGAGATAAGCTGATGGAGTTATGAAAAAAGGTAATACAAAATAATCCAGGGAGAATCCCTCTCTCAATGCAACATGCAAAGAGCCAATACAACTGAAAATACTAATGACATGCGTAATACGTATCCCCTCTTTCCCTTTTAAAAGAGATTAATAACTAACTTTCTAGCCACTTTCCACAATTGCTCTTTTATCCCTTCTAGAATAGACTTTCCACTCTCTTGGCTTATTCTCATTAAACTTAATGGTTTATGGGTTCGTATCATACATCATACCCTCTCCAAACCCTATTGCTTGGTGGAATATACCGGTTACATTTGGTTTGGCTTGGTTAATGCAATAAGGTCCTAGTTGCAAACAAATAGCGCAAACCCTAACAACAATGCAGGATTTTAAATGGATCTCAAATGTGTTCCGCAAATGCCAAGAACGAAACCAATAGGAATCCCACACCGGATCAGCTACTCTTAAATGGAAGGTATTAGCATAGAACTCATAAATGGAAGGTGATAGGGGAGAGCATTATCCATTTTAACTTCTGAAGTTAACTAGTAGGCTGCTTTTTGTTTTTGTAATCAGTTTGATCTTTGACAACCATTTTTATCTTTTGATTATCATCTTATTTCTTGTGGCTGCACAATGAACAATATTATTCAATTAGGTTCTTGGAGTTGTACAAATCTCATAAGAGTAAAAACTACTAAGATTAGGTGATTTCTTCCCACGTAAAGAACTGTTACAAATAGTGAAGAGACGTTGCCGAGTGGAAGGGCCGTCGCTCAACGGATAAAATATGAAATTTCCAAACGAACAATCCCAAAGAAACAAAACAATCAGTTACATTGCAGGGTGGACGATTTTAAAGCAGACTCCTCCAGTCTTACTTCAAATTCTCATGATTTTACTTAATTTTATGGCATCAGGGTTTGTATCTTTATATAAGCAATGGTTAGCCAATGCACAATTTTATCATCGCACTATCACTAGCTTTCCACTTTTTCGGTGAGTAACTTGGTCAATAGATCTTCATGCCTCAGATAGTTATGATCAGTGTTTGATAGTTGAGCTCAGTGTTTGATAGTTATGATGAGCAGAGTATATTATTTTCTTTCAGTTTAGCATAAAATCTAAACTTTCTATGACCTTTTGGTTTTTGACAGATTGTCTCGCAAGATCTCACAGACCCAGTTCGTTCACATAAAGATCTGGACAAGGATGCAGCACTATACTTTAGAAAAGCAGTCCAATTTTACGAGGAACTTTCAAAGCAGATGGTCAACCACGGTCAGGTCTTGGACCTTTTTGCTTCTGCACTAGACCAGGTAGAACAATTGTAATTTTGGGTCCTCTATAGTTTGCCAACTTGGTCTTTATAATCATTTGTTGTTTTAGATGTAGGAGATGACCCTTTTCTCTTTAGGGCTATTCATCAACCATTGACAAATCTGTATGGTCGATTATTCTTCATGCTAGAGGATGTATGACTTCACCCCATTGTTCTTTCTGGTGTCTTACCTCAAATTCGAATCCTTTTTTCAGAAAATTTTATTTTTATGTCGTCTGCTGAACGGGTCAGTGTGGAAACCACCCTATTCCTTATCCTGCAATTGTTGATTCTCAGAAAGGGTAAAATTGATTGGTAAAACATACTAGAGCATGTATCAATTACTTCTATAATAAATGTTTCTTTGCTTCCATCCTATAATCCATATTAAAGATGTAAAACACACTTCATTCTTTTACATCCTACCCCCAAGCTACTCTTGAGTGGGATATAATGGTACATTTAGTTTCATTACTCCAGGACAGCTTTATTTGGCTAGCCTTTAGATGGTGCATTCCAATGCTTTGACATCTAATGCAGTTTATGTTCCTAGGTTGGGGTTGCTGAGATGAAGGTTATTATTGAAAGAACCGGTGGCCTTGTTGTTTTAGCTGAAAGTTTTGGTCATCCAGTTTTTAGGGATTCATTTAAGCGTGTTTTTGAAAACGGAGAAGAGGCTCTTGGTCTTTCCTATAAGTGAGTATTTCATGCTCGACAATTTTGGTTATGTGTTCTCTTGCTTTCTTTAAATATTTTTTTGTTGGTAACTGAAAGTTGGTTTTCTTGCACTTTTTTTAAATACGTAACTGTATTTTAGTTAGTTTTGTTCCTAATTGTTTCAATTTTTGTATATATGATTTCTTTAAAAGTCAAGAGAACATTTTCCCCTCACTGCATTTTGGGTTTTTCTTTTTTCTGTATTATTTCTAATTTTTATAGCCTGTATCCTATTCTTATTTCTTCTTCTGCTGCTGCATTTTCTTTTCTCATTTTATGTTCTTAGTTATAAATATGTCCAGGTTCATGTTACAATAGTCTTCTGCTACTCCACGTTGCACACACTGTGATGTACTTCCTTTGTGTTACTTTCATTATGCTATGTTAAGAACGTGCACCTTATGGCTGGGAAAAGAGTAAATAAATTATTCACATTTTTCCTTGATTCCTTATTTACCTTTATTCACGTTTCTGTTGTTTCTCATGATGTCATCTTTCATGATGTATATTTGCCATAAAATCTTGTTTATCCAAGAGGTCAATATTATTGATAGACCACGCCTTTTCCCCCCTGAACTCATTGTTTGTTTGTTACTTTCAGTGGCACACTTGAGATGAACTGTTCAAAGGATATCAAAATTCAAGGGATCATTGGACCTTGCACATCCCTGGAGAAGGTAAATTTTTTTAAACCATAATTGGTATACAGCATTGAATATCTGACTGGATGAGGGCGGTCTGACTCTAATCTTATTAAAGATGTCCGTATTTGGGTAGTGATATTTTCTCTGAGAATTACTGCCCTTGCAGAAGGGACCTGCTGTTGCAAGCACACCAATTGGGCAAGGGAACACCACTGCTTGGAAGTTGTGTGGACTGGACAAAGATACTTGTTTGACTGTTCTGTTTGACATATCTTCAACTGACAGATCAGACCATTCAGGAACCTTAAATCCACAGTTGTATATACAGACTCTTACAAGGTAAATTAGAGAGTTAATTTACATTCTTCTTGATAAGTTTAAAGTGATCGTTATCTCCCAGGAACTATCTAATTACTGTCTTAGGTTCTTGTTTTTATTTTTGTCGGATGCAAAACTTGTACAGTCCATCTTTCACATGTAGTTTCTTTAACCTTCCGATGTAACAAACATAATGTAAGGATTAATAATCACACACAAACAATCACAATCGCAAGAAATGTAAAAATTGAATATGGTATATACTTGGCTCAATAACTTGCATATGTCAATGGTGTAACTAGAATTTTATTATATGTATTTTGAACCCTGTTGTATTGTGACTACATTAAAGGAAGACAACCCCGTTTATTTGGAAGAAAAATTTGAATACAAAGATGAGTCAGGAAATCTGTTATCCTTGACCATCTTAACTATCATAACCGATTTCTAGATATATACCAAATCAGGGTTTTATTCTCTTATTGTAGTATGATTTTCTTAAATGGATTAATTACTTGTGTATATATTGTTGATCCCAGATCTCTCAATAACACTAATAATCTAGTTAATAATAACCAAATTATAGTGATTTGATGAACAAAGTGATGAACACTCAAGAAGAAATTATGAACAATCTTGAGTGTCAAAGATTTCACTTTTTTAGTAATAAAAACGTAAAAGCGACTTAGATTACAATAGGCCTTATCACCTATTTATACTAATAAGAAGATAACTATCTAATGAGACTTTTTAGCTAATCTTCTAATAATAGATAACGATTATCTAAACTATGGATAAACATTAGTAATTAAGATAAACTCAAAATCTAGCTGTTGACTTGTCATCTCCAGCTGTCATTCATGGTATGATGGATCATCCTTATCTTTAGGTCTTCATCGCATGCTTTTGGATGAATTGTTGGAAAATACTAAGTGTAGTTGACCAGAGGTTCGATGAAGATGCTCTTTCCATCGCATCCTTGGTCGTCCATCGGTTCTCTAGTTATGCTCCAGACTTAGTCAATTCTGCCTTGATGTCTCCATTGGTCTTCTGGTTCTTCATCACTTGTTGTTTTTCGTTACTTTTTCACTTTATGAATTATGGGGTTTAACAATCTCCCCCTAAGTAATGAAATAACAAACATAAACTAATCTAGAAACAACCGTGAAGAACAGAGACTAATCTAATAGAAAAACATCAAATTCCAAATTTTCATTGGATGATGAAATTCTTACAATACTGGAATCAAAAGACATCAAGACATAACAAAAAAAATACAACTCATCATGAGCTACCTTGATATATTTCWYTGAAGCRCATGAGYAGTCTTCGATAGCCGATGACTGTCGATATCTCATGAAAGAGCCGACTCCCTTCTTCTCTTGGCACGTGGTTTCTACCCAGTCTTTCTCTAACGATTTTCTAAAACCATTCAAGTGTATCCGATGAATACTTGAAGGCCTCAGTTAGTCTAAAGAATTTTTTAACCCCGAACTCATTCTTGTAAACAAGTCCAAGTTCGGGTTGAGTTAGGACTAAGGCAGACCTTTTCTCCTGCAGGCCTTGGAAATCTTCGTTTGGTGGAGCGCAGGATAGTCTTTCAATACCTAGCCGAACAGCAATTTCAAAATCACTCTTGGCTTTATGGTTCACCAGGGTTTCCATTGTTTTTACCACCGCTCGGTTCGCCATTCCATACTTGATGTCGTGGTCCTGCCTTTGATCCGTGTATGAGTATAATTCAATCAAGTCATATGGATTGAGATTAATGAGGTCATTTTCGTTGAACACGCTAACTTGCCCATGTGCTCTCTCCACAGTGAACTCGATGTATCGAATGGCTCGGTTGGCAAATGTCCTTACTTTCATATCCATGACCCTCCTTATCCCATCATTCGAGAAGACAGCCTGAGGTGCTTGTGTTGTCTGTCTAATGAATCTATGGTGTAAGAGGTCCATGGACTCAGGTGATAAGATCGGAGGGTTGATGGTCAAACTTTCATCGTGGTCTTCATATAGGTATTGATGGATGTTTTCCATCATAATTGGTTCCCTGGGTGGCAATTCAGGACGTCTCCGCATCGACTCCATGCTCTGTATAATCTCATCTACCAGGCTCTGAGGAGGTTGCCTTGATGAAGAGGGAGTATCCGCATGCACCACGGGTGGTTGGGTTGAGGGTTATGTATGAGTTGGTGAGGGTATGGTTTATTGTTGAGTTGGTTGTGGTTCATTGGGTTCGGTTAGGGTGGTTTCTAGTGCATGGGGTTTTGTTTGGGTTTGGGGTTGTTGGGGTGATGAAGGTTGGATTATTGTTGGTTTTGGTCGTATGAATAAGGTGAAAGGTTATGTGGTACGAGGGGTTGGAGAAGGGGTTAAAGGTAAGTTTGGTGTGGGTGATGAAAGTTGGTTTATTTCCGTTGGTGGGGTGATTGGCTCTTCGTCGGTTGAGGAACTCAACACGATGGGTTCTGGGGTTGCAGCGAATGGAACATGTACATATTGTACATCTTCAGAGGGTAGAGCCTCTGGTTCCCTTGCTTGGGTTCCTTCGGTTGAGGGTGGTGGTTGAGTTTGTGGTGATAGTGATGGTGGTGCAGCGAATTCTATATTCTGTGCAGCCGCAACCTCTGTCTCCCCCTCATGAGGTCCAAGACCTTGATCATCGTGGTCTTGGTCTTTATGCCTTGGCCTTTTGTGTTGGCGGCTGCTGGAGCAAGAGGCTCTGCTCCTCTTCTTCTTTTTGTCCTTTCTAAAGGACGCAAGATACGCCTTCAGGGCAGCTTATCTTTGACTCGCCTCCATTGTTTGGAGGAGAGAAGTGGTGCGTCGTTGTTCATCGGCCAGGTTCTGATGGATGGCTCGATGAATGAATTTGGCACTAATCTCATTGAAAGATGAGACTAGCGCCTTGGACAGACCCCGTAGGTCAGCTCTGGTTGTGAAGATTGGTGATGAGGTCTCTGACCTCTGCAGTGAATGAGGAGAAGGCTTCGTCAAAGGATGGGCCTACAGAAGGAGGTTGGGGTGGAGTAGGCTGGGGGATTTGGGCTAGGATAGTGGCGGGTAGTTGGGTGAGGGTGGTTTGGATGGAGGCCATTTGATTGGTGAGGTTGGCAAGGGTAGCATCGATAGATGAGGTGGATTGAGGTGGGGCTTGATGAGGAATTTGGGAGATGATGGTTGTGGGTAGGGAGTTAATGGTTTGAAGGATGGTTTGAAGTTGGGAGATGATGTATGTGAGGTTCTCATCGGCCTCAGTTGCCTGGGCCATGAGGGTGGCGATGGATTGGATGAGGATTTGGTGTCGTTGGGTGGCAAGGGAGGATGTGGTGTTGTGATGTTGGGTGATGGTTTGTTGGAGCATTTGAAAGCGGGTGGTATTGGTTTGGGTTTGGGTTTCTATTTGAGAGAAATGGTGTTGCAGGATTGCAAGGTATTATTGGAGGTCAGAGTTATCGGTGGAGGGTTGGTTATCAACAATTCCTTGTGTGATGAGTTTAAGGTCTTCCAAGGACCGCATTACTGTATCGACAAAGGCTTAGAACTCGGCCTTTGTGACCATGTCTGCATGTGGGGTAACCCCAGAAGCAACAGATGCTGCAGGTTGGGCCTCTACTCCGGAGGCGCCTTCTTGGCCTTGTGAGAAGGTAGGCCTAGAAGGACTTCCATCACGTCCTTGATAGCCCTCAAGAGAGAAGCTATCTTGTGATGTTGCGACATCTGCTTCCTCTTCCGTGGCTTCAGAGGCCGGGTAAGTGAAGCGAATGTGTGTCCCCTTCTGTAGATCAAATATCGAAGGGGGATGTGCATGAAGGGAAGATCGCTCTGAACGATCTTGGGGTTCAATATCAGAAGCAACACATGCTTCTGTGTGTGTGGTGGGATATGTCGAGCCCTGAGGCGAAGGGGCTCTTATATCTTCATCACCTCTCTGTTGAGAGAGGGGTGATGGAAAATGTGGTTCCTCGGCTGATACATCTCTAGAGGCCCGAAGAATGGCCTCTGGATGGCTGGCTAGGGTTGGGAGTGGACTGGGTCATCCTTGTTCAATACCCCTGTGGTTTTGATCGCCAAGGGTAGATGATGTAGTTGCCCTTTGGGTAGTGGGGGGAGAAATTGTATGAGTAGGGCCGGGGGAGGCACGATGAGTAGCATCATCATCATCATCATCTTCATCATCCGATGAAGATGTCTCATGTGCTCCCTCGCTTGGTTCGGGGGACGGTTATAATCGCTCAGGGGTAGTTGCCCTCGGTTCCTAGGACAACATAGAGCGTTCATAGGCTTGGCGTATCTCAGATGTCGATGGAATGTCATTGAGCATAGCCCTGGAGAGTGGACGGTTGATGCTGTAACCCTCCTTCGAGAGGGTTAGGCGATGTCCATGCATCTTGTAGACTGGGGTGGAGGGCTCCTCAGCTGGTAGGCCATACTTCCTCATTGCGTCGCCAATGAAGAGGGCGAGGAAGCGAGGGAAGAGAACCGCAGAGAGAGGCTTGCCAGCGGCTTGGAGTTTACATTTCTTGACCACTGCCGCATGAATCTCGTTGTAGATCAGGAAGGCGTAGTCGAGGTTCAGGTTGAAGAACAGCCCATACATGATAGTCATGATGTTGATGTTCCCTTGGTCTAAGGTGTCCAGTTTGCATGTGAGAGCTCTGTTAAGGATGGAGAAGAACATATTCCACATCGGCGGGAGGAATTGGTGTTTGAAGTCCGATACGTTGCGTAGGTCACGATTGTAACCTAGCATCTTCACGAAGCGGAGGATGTCGTCGGTGGTTGGTGGTTCGTCATATTGTTCAATTCCAAGTTCCCGTCGAGTGGGAATGCACAGAATCCGAGAAACCTTAGCCCACGATATTTTGAGCGAGCATATCATATCATTAGGTGCATCCATGTGCCCCATTATTCCATGGCATTCTGGGTCAAACTCACATGTTTGCCAATATTGCTGGACGTACTTTATGGGTACGCCGGTGTCAGCAAGAGTGAGGGCGGGAAGAAGAATGCAATTCTTGA